TATATATATATATATATATATACATATACACATTTACATATATACATATCATTATATATAAACACAATTATTTTAATTTTCATTTACTACAATTATTTTTTAATATGACTCACATATGCTTGACTCTGAGTGAATCTTGATTTACCCAATCTGGTCCAATAATGAACTGCTCAGAATAATGTATTTATCATTCATGCATGTGTGTGTTAGTCTGTGGCAGCTGGCGGTGGATTATTTCGATCACTGTCCTGAGTTCGGTCGTGTGTATCTGGAGCTGCAGGTCGAGAGAGTCCCACTCGACACCGAACGCAAAGCCATTAAAGTCTTGCGGATCTGTGAGGACAGACAGATGAGTGAACAGGGTGAGTGACCTCAACTGTCTCAGACTTAAACATTAAAACAGTAAACTGTGATTGTTTGCTTACAAGTCTGTAAATGAGCAGCTCGTTTTGATTGAGTGCTGATAATCAAAGACTGTGAGACAAAGCCATCATGACAGATGTAGTAAGAGTGGATCTGTGTGTGTTTCAGTGCGCAGTATCTGTAAGATCATGACTAAAAGAGCTCTGAGGAACAACAGACTGGGATCTGCTCTGTCCTGCAGCATCAGAGCCAAAGACGCTGCGTTCGCTACACATCTCTGAGAGGTTACACACTATCTATCTGGCTGTCTATGCCAGTATCTAGAAGTTATTATATTGGCCTTTTTCCTAACCCATGCTTTTTTTCCCCCACAGGTTTCTTCAGGATTACAGTAACAAAGGCTCTTTCACAGATCTGGATTTGTTGGATAATCTGGGTCCCGCCATGCTGCTCAGTGACAGACTGACGTTTTTAGGTACAATATGAGAGGCCGATGCCATTTATGAGATTTATCTGAAGCACAAGATCCTCTATAATTCAGCGTGTGTCTTATTTCAGTCTGCCGTTCATTCTCAGATCCGTTGAACACTGCTTTCGTTCAGCTTTCCTGCACAACTGTGATCGATTCCTCAGCCACGTTCATTAAAAAAAAAAAAAAACGTGTTTCTCTTTCATGCAATAACTTGCTCATCAAACATTAAAATTAGATAACTAAAACTAGCCAGTCATTGTTTTTGGTAAATGCACATTCAGTTTTGACTTCACTGCAAAAAAAAAAGGCTTATCTTACTTAGTATTTTTGTCTTGTTTCTTGTCAAAATATCTGAAAATTCTTAAATCAAGATGCATTTACTAGAAAAAAAAGACGCAAGATACTTAGCCTTGTATCCTGGGGGGGAAAAATCTAAATTAAGTGCATTTTGCTTAAAACAAGTAAAATGATTTGCCAGTGGGGTAAGTAAAATACTCTTAAAATAAGATTTTTTTTTAAAAATCCATCCAGTCAATTCCCAAATGATAAAAACTGTTTTTCTTTTCTAATATATGGTTTCATTTTAAAAGATGTCATGTTACATATGTAAAAATTATTTCTAATGCAAGTTCAGCCATGCCTTTTAACCATGAGATGCATGACTGTGTGTTTACAGGAAAGTACCGTGAGTTTCACAGGCTTTACGGTGAGAAGCGGTTCTCAGAGGCGGCCAGACTCCTGCTGTCCCTCATGACGGCAAAGATCGCTCCGCGCAGTCTGTGGATGACGCTGCTGACCGACGCGCTGCCGCTGCTGGAACAGAAAGTGGTCAAGACAGACAACTCATGCTTTACAGTCACTTTTTACCTCAGTGAAGAAATTCATACCATCAATAAATATTTATCTACCGAACGTCAACATTTTAAGCCGATTGATTTAGATCAAAAGGCTTTAAAGATCATTACCGTAATAAAATAACATTGGCTAGTTTGTACTATATCAGCTTAATCTATAAAACTTGACCATTAGTGGTGTTTTGTTTAAATGGCTCTGTTTGTTTGCATGTAAAGGTGATCTTCTCAGTGGATCAGACGTATGAGCTCATGTCCTGTCTGGAGGAGCTGAACTCCGGGACCAAAGACTCAAACCTGACAGACCAGGTACAAATCATCTAGAACATCCAAGAGAAGCTTATTATAATGTTTAGTTGTGAATTAGGTTGTTTTAAGTTGTTTTTCTTCTGTGTTTCAGGATGAAGATATCGAGTCCACGAAGACGGAGCTCTTGCGACTGGCTCTGGCCCGTAACCTCACCATGGCCATCGTGAAAGAGGGAACTATAGAAACATAAATACATCTGAGCATCAAATCAGTCACTTACAGCTGTTTTTCTTATTTGTGTCCTGTACATAATTCAAAAACTTGAAAAAAGTGACTTCTTTTATAACATTTTCCAGTATTTGGAAGAAAAAAAAAAAAAAAAAAAAAAAAAAAAAAAAACTTATTTTTCTTTCATATTTATTTCTTTTGTCTTTATATAAAAGGTCTTATTAGGGAAAACTTGATTGTTCATGCTCTTTTGAATTAGAATTTGAGGTGCAGCAACTTAAATAGTTAACAACTTTAATAGTAAACTTAAATGTTAACTGTAAGAATCATGCAGGGATGTAAAAGTATCATAAACCAAACACTAATTGTTTTTGGTCCAAGATATGGAATGCCAAGACTGCCATAATTAGAAATAAATGAATAAATATACAAAGAAAAGTAAAAAAAAGTAATTTATAATTTTATTTCCTTGTGTATTTTTTTTCCACATTTATTTTTCACTTGTATTTATTTTCACATTTATTTATTTATTTCCACATTTATTTATTTATAAATTTCTTTGTCCGTAGGGTAATGAGGAGGAATTTTACCTCAGGAATAGAGTGGGGGAACTATGACGTCACTTTGTAGGCCGATCGGCTGTTAGCATCGCACTGGTTCCCTCGACAAAAAGCCAATGGGATTTTTCCATAGGCTTTTGGATTATCGCAAAAAATAAACTCTGTGTTCAACCATAGTTCATGAAACTTACACGTTTTGTCCATCAAAATAATCTTCACAAAATAATATAACTTTTATGAATTGAAGCCTAAATAAAAGCGCCAGAACTTAAAAGCTAAACTTAGGAAGTCGGCAGCAACTTCCGGTTCACGCGGACTTTAACATGTTCAGTGAAAAGGATTTACTCTGTATATGAATTTTAATCCACGCTGCATGAATCTTTTCATATAAACAGGAATAAATACAAAACTAGAGCCAAACTAAAACTGAAATGAGACTTTAGAAATAAATATTATAGGGAATAAATGAAACAATCATAACTAAAGGACATGTGAAAGCACGTATTTCTGTACATTTTGAAATAAGGTGCATTAAAAGGAATAAAGTACCACATTTAAACTATCATTTTGTTAGGGTGGTTACACAATGTTGTTTTATCCTTGCTTCTAGAAAATCCTCAGTCGTTCTGCTTTCTAAGAGCTTCATGTGGCCGTAAACATTTAATTTTAATGTGGCTTCAAGCACTATGCATCATTAAAGTTTCACTTAAAGTCGGCATGAAATCAAAATTTACTTTATTTACTTTACTTTACTAGCGCACATTGCTAGTCTTGATGTGAACAATCAATCCATGCAAGTTAATCCGCTGAAAAAAAGTGTTTGTCTTGGTAATCTTTGCTACTATAAACTATACAACAGTTGGAAAATACTGTAAATTGATAAACTGTTCGACGTGGTGACGTTTAATGTCTCCGACAGCGGCTGTAGTCCCATTTAGCAACTTGTTAGCAACTGTCTTTTTTAAGAAACGTAACCGTTTAAAAAAATCACAAGTGGGGTGTAACTGGTGTGTTTTATGTCGTAGAATAAAACGTGAACGTATCTTGAGCTTGTGTGAACCAGGTACCTTATTTTAGGGATTTAATCAAACTCCCATTCAAAAAACCCATTGACTCTGGGACGATGGAACATTTAAATGTAAATGTAACTCGCTTCCGGGTTTTTGCCTATAAAGTGACATCATAGTTCCACCTCTATAGCAATCGAGCCAGAGTAGGCGAGGCATAACATTTCATTTTAACGTGGCTTAAAGCACTGTGCATCATTAAAGTTTCACTTTCACCGTGACTAAGCCGGTAAATGTGGTGTTTACATGGAATAATCGTAATATGAGTTATGCCATAACTCATATTACGATTATTCCATGTAATATATATCAAAGATAAAAAAAAAAATAAATATTTTACATTTTACAAGAAAACACTACTTTAGTTTTTCTACTCCAAAATTTCATTTATTTTAATGTTTCTTGCCTTTTCTTTGTAATTGTATGTGAAATTTACTAGCAATTTCTGAGATAAAATCGTTTCTACACCAATTTTTTGTGCATGCCTGTCATGTTGTTATCTAGCCATTTAAGTGTGCACCATTTGAAGCTGCACCATTCCAACACTAGATATCACTCTCCACTGTGACTTCACCCTCTTAATACAGTATACATAGTAAAATCCAGAAGCAATGTAGATTAAAATTGTTGCATTGTCATATATTTACTTGAATGAATGAATGAATGAATGAATGAATGAATAAGCAAGACCACAAGCTCCATGTACACGCTCAATGACTATGCTTGGCATTTAACACTCTTGTTTGTTGCTTATTTAATTCTTTGTTTTGTGCATAGGTGTTTATTATTTTGGCTTTGCTTCCTCCTTAAGCATTTGTGTTTCCATTACTATTCCTTTCTTTTAATAAATCCAATTTCAGTTTACCTTGGGTGAAAGTGTGTTCCTAGTGCTGGGACTAGAGATGATAAAAGTTTCGGGATGTGTCTGTGCTCTCGCTCCACCTTTGTGACGTCTGTCCTGTTCACGCATGTCAACGCGAGATCTAATGCAGAAAATGATGAGATGTCTCAGAATCACAAAACAATCAACAAGTGCATAGGTAGGTCGTACAAAACTGTCTTAAAACAATACATCAATACATCTTGCCATTTATGTATTCCTTTATGTAATTCTATAATTTGTCTTAAGATTTTTTTGCATTTAAGCGACATCAGCATTGCGGAAGTGGAGACTTCCACGTGCTTCAAGGACAGAGAGATCAGCGATCAAGTTAGATCTGTCATACAATTATCAGTTACACATATATCAATGTCAATAGTTTATTTTCAACTTTTTAAAAATGTATTACTTTTTTTCTACAGTCAGACCGGAACGGGAACCAAATGTCTCAAGCGCTCAAAGAACAACAACTAATCAGGTATAGGCCTTACAAAGCTAGTATCTTAATACATAAACATTATATGACTCAATGGTAACTCTTGCCACTTTTTGTGATTATGTATTCTTCTAGGTAATTGTATAATTTGTCTAAAGATTTTTATTTTTACATTTTACTGACAGCAGCACTGCTGAAGTGAAGCCTGCCACGTGTTTGGAGGAGAGAAGGAACACCGTGAGTTAGACCTGTCATATACAGTTATCTGTATATTAAATATCAAGGTCAATATTTTTCTGAGCAACTGTTATTTTGTTCTATGCAGTCTAATCGCACATGGACTAGAAATAAGCTAAATCTGTACTTCAATCGGAAGAGCATCATGAAGAAGAGACATCTAAATGGCCCTCCTGACATATTTCATCTACACCCAAAAATGCAGTTTAGTCAGTTTAGAGTGCATACTTCTTGGGAAAAGTATGCTGTAAGAGAAATAAAAAAATTGGTTGACTGTGACTTAAATGCCATAACTCATATTACGATTATTCCATGTAAGCTCTCAGCTCTCATGAGGACAGAGAGAAGAGAACAGAGACCCTGTTGTAGCACAGACCTGACATCCCACAATGCACCACACGCAGCACAGGACTCGGAACAGCTGCACACTTCAAATCAAACTCTCTCTGAGAACCTTAAACCATCCCACGATGCTTAGCAATGCTGAAGATCACTGTGAACCTCCAGAAATAATCAGCTGCATTCAGAACAGACACCCCTGCTGAAAAAAAAAATAGAAACAATACAGAAATTCTAACGGTTTCCACTGCAAATACCATTACAAACATTACAAACCATCAACTATTAACCATTAAAAAATGGTTTCCAGTAGTGTGTTTTGGGCCATATTTCATTAGGATTTAGAGGTTTTAACAAGCCACCAATAGAAGGCGACCAATTACCAGAGACCCACAGGGACCATTACAGTTTACATTAAAACCAATACACGTCCCATTATAACCAGTAAAACCAATACAAATTCTGATGGTTTCTATTGTTTTTTCAGCAGGGGCATTGAAGGTGCACTAACAAAAAAAAAAATTTAGGACTTACTTTATGTCAACAGGTTCCACGTAACTGGAATAATTTGAAGATAAGTAACATTACCTGTGACAATAAACACAGTAAATGGATACATTTTTTCAAATCAATCAATCAATCCTAAGAAACAGCAAGGTGAGCAAATACAAATACATGAGCAATTTTTTTCTTTTTACACTGGAGAAAAAAACAAATATATATATATATATATATATATATATATCAAAGTTAAAAAATAAAATAAATATTTATTATTTTACAAGAAAACACTACTTTAGTTTTTCTACTCCAAAATTTCATTTATTTTAATGTTTCTTGCCTTTTCTTTGTAATTGTATGTGAAATTTACTAGCAATTTCTGAGATAAAATCGTTTCTACACCAATTTTTTGTGCATGCCTGTCATGTTGTTATCTAGCCATTTAAGTGTGCACCATTTGAAGCTGCACCATTCCAACACTAGATATCACTCTCCACTGTGACTTCACCCTCTTAATACAGTATACATAGTAAAATCCAGAAGCAATGTAGATTAAAATTGTTGCATTGTCATATATTTACTTGAATGAATGAATGAATGAATGAATGAATGAATAATATCAAGGTCAATATTTTTCTGAGCAACTGTTATTTTGTTCTATGCAGTCTAATCGCACATGGACTAGAAATAAGCTAAATCTGTACTTCAATCGGAAGAGCATCATGAAGAAGAGACATCTAAATGGCCCTCCTGACATATTTCATCTACACCCAAAAATGCAGTTTAGTCAGTTTAGAGTGCATACTTCTTGGGAAAAGTATGCTGTAAGAGAAATAAAAAAATTGGTTGACTGTGACTTAAACATTGGCAACACTATCAAAATAGTAAGTTTTCCCCACTATGCGAAAGTAATTATTTTTCTTGAATCTTGGTACAAACAAAAACAGCAAGATAGGAAGGAAATCTCCTTTGAAGTTGGTAGATACACAGTACTGCTGCGACCAAGCGATCTGTACTGTTCAGTCAGTGACATGAGTGACATAAACCCTTGTTATGCAACACTGAAACCATCAGAAACTTCCTCTAAAAGATGTGCTGAGACACTTTGGAACTACATGATGGGGAACCATGACCAAGTTGATTCTTGTATAGAGAAACCTCAAGATGCCATGGTAGTATGTGCCATCTTGTTCTCAGAAGTTATAAGGAATCCTGAAATGTTTTTCCATAACATCCTCCTGATGCAGTTTTTAAAACCATGGCATGAGTTTCGTGACAATCATCCCATGTTAACAGGAGGATCGTGGAAAAATAAGGGTAACAGTGAAACACTGGAAAAGGTTAGAGAGAGAGAAAACAAAAAAGCTTTATCTATTGTGCCAAAAAAATTAGAGATAAGGCTAAAGAAAAATCTATTTCATACCAGACACTTCTCAGATTTTAGTAGGGGACAATTGTGTTGCTTTTGATTATCCTCATGTCTTTAGTCAGGCGTTTTTTGTTTTTTTTCTGGCACCACCTATACTCTTGTCTTCCCTCCCATTTGTATCTTGCTGCCATTGATGCCTTGTATTTTGTTTCTGTAATAAAAACGTCTTACTGTTTGTATTGTGTCATTGTCGTTTTGTCAGTAGTCACTGAAAAGTATTACATGGGGGAGGGGAGGGGTGGGGGGCATGAATATAATAACAGTAAAATAATAAAATTAAAAATCTGTATTATCAATATGTATTATTAATTTCGAATTATCAAATGTATGACCTCTACATACAGTACAGCATAATGTGCACCATAATTGAAGATGACGTGAGTCTAAATCAAGGCTTCTCAACTCGACTTTGCTGTGGATTTTAGCTCCAAACTTGATCTAACTGCCTGTAACTTTCTTGTAATCCAAGAAACACAGATCGCAAGAGTTTAACCTTTTTGCTCTACTTTGTAGCAGAGCACTCTCTTTTGCAGTGTTGCCATTTTCACTTATTATAAACATATTTGGCCTTGGCTCATAATATGAGCAAAATGTTACTGAGAAAATTGTATGTTCATGGCAAGTTTTTATCCTCAACTATAAAACTAGATAAATCTGTCTTACCTTGTAAGATGAAACAACCACAAATGTTGTCCAGAAAGTGAATCAGTATGACAGAAAGGAGTAAAATGAGTCAGTCTCTTCCTGGTAAATGTTTTAATATGTTGCTATATTTAAATATAAATGGAAAAAATGCAAATAAAAATGCAAACTTTGTTCATTTGCAAAATGCAACGACGTCATGCACATGCATATTATGTTTAGTATATAGCAGTGGTGAGGCTATACAGTACATAAGGGCCAGGATCACACTAGCCCACTCAGATTATCGGCTGGTGCAGCCGTAAGGTTGAAATTTAAAAAAGACTTTTGTTTTTATGTGCTAACTAGTCATGATTCAACATTAACATTGAAGTGCTACTGATTGCAATACAATATTGTCACACTACACTCTCCCACATAATTTGCTATTCTAATTTTGTGCTTATTTCCTGCTATCTTCCGTGACTGTAGTTAAACCACCCTTACAAAAACTGCTGAGAACAATGTAAAAACATGTTTTATATTCACATATCAAAGTGCTTTTGAAATTGGATGCTCGCAGGCTGCATCTCATATTACTTCGATACTGAATTTTTTTTTATGTTAAAATGTTACTGATATTTTTTTCTTTAAACAAACAGAACATGGAATAGACGGTTAATCCTAGTTGTATTTCGTATTATTCCAACACGCAGATTGTTATTTTAACACCTAAATGAACATCTCACAAAAGTTGTAGTTTGGTCTGGTTTTGTTTTCGTAGTTAACACGTGTGGATTTTGACTACTTGAAAACCAAGTTGGTATTTTCACAATGTTTCAAAAACGTTTTATTTTGGGTACATTATTTTATTATTATTATTTTTAATCTTAGATGTGGTTTCTAAAACATTTTTTTAAACAATGTACTGCATCATTACATGATTACAACCAAATTACAATGCTGTGAAAAGTTGTAAAAACATTCTGTATTTTCTAGGATGATTAAGTCTAGGGATGATTTAAGCAGCATCAAAATATCCAACAAAACCAAGTGTCAGTTATATATACGTCACATTTATTAACATTTCCCTAAATGTATGCACTAAAATGTATGTCACTAATATGTATCATGTGCATTAAAATATTTTGTGCAGTCTGCACAAAATATTTGAATGCACATGATTACAAAATGTTATGCATTTAAAAAGTGTTACAACCAAAATAACCAATAAAACTTTTATTTACCACAAAGAAAGAAATCACAGCCACCCATCTGGTCCCTGATAGCACACGTACATCACAGAGACGTCTATCTGACGTCTGCATTTACATCTGGAAGACGTATTTTTTAGAGTGTTTGCTCATCTGCACGTTTCCTATCAGATGTCAAATAGACGTCTATTAGATGTCTTTAAGATGTTTATGATTTAGAATGTATGTAAAACTGAAATCTTAAAGATGTCTGTCAGATGTTTGTACACAGCAGAGGCTTTCCAGATCAAGCAATCTTTAACAGACATTGTGCAGACGTACGTGTGCTATCTGGGGGTGTTATCTATTCAGCGTGCATGCATGTGGACCTCCCGATTATATTTTAGTTCATTTTACTAACCACCAATACTAAAAAATAATAATAATAATAATAATAATCCCTACACTTTTCCAGATGACATCAAAAGCCCAATGTCCTTTATAAGGAGGGGTGCACATAACTGGTACCTAGGTGCGCATGTGTGACCAAAATAAAAAATGCGCTGTGTAAATAAGTTCAGACCACTTTTGACAGCTGTTAATGCACAATCACTGTTTTTGATCGACTAACTGTAATATTGAAAGATTTCCATTCAAACTGAAAGCATAAATCTAGGCTATGCAGTCAATACAGGGCCGAATATATTTGCAAAAGAATTGAAGTATTGCAAAAGAAAAAGTTTTGCAAAGGAAAATGAAAGTACTGAGAAAAAAATAAATGTGCTTTTTGCAAACAAGAATAAAGAATTGCAAAAGAAAATAAAGTATTGAGAGAAAAAAAGTTTTTCAAACAAAAATAAAGAATTGCAAAATATAAACGAAACAGAGCAAAAGCAATGATTTTGCAACATATTTTCCATGGCCATATCTACTAATTTATTTGCAACGCTGCTTTTATTTTGCGTTTCAGTCAAGTGTGAGCTCGCGATAACCAGCTGCGTCCGAAATCGCATACTTCCATACTATATAGTAGGTGAAAAAACAGTATGCAAGGCGAGTAGTATGTCCGAATTCATAGTATTCGAAAAACAGTAGGCGAGAAGCACCCGGATGACCTACTACTTCCGCCCGAATTCCGTAGCATGCATACAATGGATACTTTACTATCCCATGAGGCCACGGG